AACCCGCGTGGGCCCGCGGGGAAGCCGCCCGGCTCCGCGCCACGTTGCGACCCCCGCTCTCGGGCCTTGTGCCCCGCTCAGGGATGCGGGGGCGGCGGGCCCGAGTGGAGCTGCAGCCCGCTCTGCGCCGGGCCTCCCGCGGCAGCTCCTCAGAGGGGCGAGCCCTCCCGATCCTGCTCCCTGCCTTTCTTTCTAATACGCAGTTTGACTTTAATGAGGCTGCGAAGGCTCCGCTGCCCCCCGAGCCCCGCTCAGCCGCCCCCGCTGCCTCTGCACTCAAATTAGCATCTGCTGCGGCCGGCGGCGGCCTCGGCCCCGGCGCGCTTCGCCACACCGTTCCCCAGGGCATTCAGGCATCCTGCGCTGCCACCGAGGGACGGGGATCAGCTATTCTTCTCTTCCCGTGATTACTCACAGCCTACAAGCAACACCATATGCTTCTTCTGATCAAACAACCCGCTACATAGGCACCAGTAATTGACGAGACCTGCTGGAAATCACGCAGAAAGGTAGCCTACTGAGACCGCAGGAGTTGACAAATCATTGCTAATAATCCTTTTAGGAACATCGTGGGCATCAAGGTTTGCAATAGCTTTATTTTTATAAAGTATGCGCTGACAGCATAAAGGACAACTCCGTCTCCTTTGAAACAGAGGACTGTCCCGCATAATGATCTTCCAGGTGGCAGAGCAAATAGAAGAGGAAAGTGGCTTGACGGAGACTTAAATTATTATTTTTAAAGGTTTCATTTAACCCCTTCTTTGCTTACAAGTGACTCGATGCTACGGAAAGTTGTTTCAAAAAATTATTATAAAAAGCACTGGATTGAAAATTACTGCCTTGGACTCTAGGTATAGACGTTCATCCATGACCTGGGGGTGTGTGGGAAGGAGATTACCTCCCCCATCCAAATGACTGCCACATTACATATTTATTTTAAAAAGTAGAATTAGTACCAGTAGTCAACAAATTTAGCTGACGAAAAAAAAATTTAAAACCCCTCAAACCACCAAATCAGACAAAACTAGAGCAAAACAATACCAGGCCATATACACTCTCTTATTTTGTAAAAAATACAGGTCAACCGAGTCGAGATACAGCTACAGAAAACTCATGGGGACATAGCTGTATTACGTTGTTTTTTATGTACCCTCACTTTCGAACAAAAGATACAGCAAATTTAATATTGGGAAAAAAAAAAAAAAAAGCTCTTGATATATTTTCTTTCATACAAACCACAACTCTGTGGAGTCGATCTAAATAAGAGGTTCGTAAAATTTAAAAATATTTTCCCCCTACATCTTATAAAATCAATAGAGTGAGAACATGGAAGAACTTTATTCTGACTCTCTTAACTTCGTGTTGTTTGTTTTTCTTGGCAGCCAATCTAGAAGACCAAAGAAGGTCGCTGTAGATCTTAATTCTATTTAAAAGCGTAAGACACTTCAGGACTCTTAAGTTTTCTTTTGCTAGATAGGGGGGTTGTTGCTGCCGTGGAAGTCAACGTGAAGTTTACTGCGGGCTGTCGAGGAGAATCATGTCTAGGCTGGGCCACTGGTTTTGCAGCTTTGGATGGTCAAGGGGATTGACTGTATCTGGATACAAAACTCCTGCTAAAATTTTCCGAGGTCGATTAACGCCCTCAAACTGCCCTAGTGATCCTCAGAACGAGACACAGCACACTGACGATGCGATTCTGTGTACTCGACTTATTTATTTAGACAGGGTGTGAGCACGCCTGCACGCGTGTCCTGTACCTGTACACCGCACCTTTCCTCGAGAGCTGAACTAAGGCTTTAGGACTTTGCATAGACTTATGTAAATATTTACCCATATACTAACTCGCCCTCCCAGAATGACTATAAATAGGGGTGAATCATGCCCTCTTAGGCCTTGCGTGTGCTTGCTGGAGGATGCACATTCGACTGGGAGACTGGAGAAAAAAACAAAACCAAACGGGTTTGCTTTAGCAGAACAGAACACATAGCAGAACTCAGTGTCTTCAAGTGTTGACAAAAGCACCATAAGTCTCCAACCAAACCTGTCATAGGAACTAAAGGGAAAGTACTTACAGCAGAGGAAAGTGACAGCGGAGGGCACCCTGTCTCCGAGCACACCCCAAGGAATTTACTTTTTTTTTTTTTAACCGTAAAATGATAAACGACACCTGGATCAGAATGAAAATAGAGGCGAATAGGCATTCCCACCTACCTTCAGGAAAAACCACTCTCATTTTTAAATAGCTGGTGGTGAGTCTGATTATGGATGCTTTGTCCAGCTGAGAGGTGATAGCGGAGGGCAGGGGTAGTAATTTAGCCAGTTCATAAAATTCACTGTTTTCTTTCTCCCGTCTAGTCCGGGCAGCATTTTTGGACTTCTCTTTCATCGTGTTTTTTTCCCGCTTCCTTGCTACAATTTAAACTCCAGAGATTCATCCAAAGGTGGAAGGGAAACTCATCTGCAATTCATCTCTCCGGAGCATCAGGCGGTGAATCTGAGCGTGGCCATTACTCAGAAAAACCGTTCTGTTGTGTAAATACAAACAAGTATTGAAGAGTAGAGGTGTTCTTTAAAAAAAAAAAAAAAAAAAGTACATATACCAACCAAACGATGTATTTCTGGCCTTTTTTCCTACTCATGGCCGGCAGCATAGCTCCTCGGAAGAGGGTCATAGTAATCCCGTTTTTTCCAGTGATTCGTTGTCAATCCGAGGGCCGAAAAGCACGGCCGCGGGCTGCCTCCCAGGGCGCTGGGTGACTTCCCCGGAGCCTCTCTCTGTGAAGACAACAGCAGTCCTGGAGTGAGAGAGCCAGTACACGGCGCCGCAGAGGAGCCGCGAGAAATAATAATCAACAACCAGCCTCCGGCGGGTGTAGTATTTTCTCCCGCCAGAGGGGAAAGGAAAAAAAAAAAGTGTATTTTCCCATCTAGCGCGCCCGTGGAGAAGCCTGCCCCGCACTCTCCTCCCACAGCCCTCTCACTTCCCAGCCCAGGTGTGCACTGCATGACCAGAACGAAAGCGCAGCAGAAAGCAGTCCCCGGCTCCCGGCGTTACCGGCTTTGCTGCTGCCGGGGCTGCGCCGTCCCCTTCGCGCTCCCTCGGGCCGGCACCGCGCCGGCGGCCAGACCTCCCCGTGCTCCGCGCTGCCAGACCCTCAGTGAGGGATACATTTCCAGTCAAGGAGTATTTCTGCTTGTTTGCCCTCTTTTCTTTCCTTTTTTTTTTTTTTTTCTCCTTTCCTTTTTTTTTCTTTTTTTCTTTCTTTCTTTTGAATTTCTCCTCGGCTACTGTCCTCATTCCTCGGCTGGGGTCGGGGGTGTCTACCTCAGCTGCACCCCAGCCAGGGGAGGCACGCTCTGCCCAGCCCTGCCCCGTGCCGGAATCCACCCAAAAA